ACTCCACTCGACTGCATTGACATTTAACCTGTGTTGCTTTATAGTTTCTGTGGGACATCGGAGTTACAGTTCTGTTTACATTGTTTCTCACCTATGGGTGTGCCAGATTAGGTTTAACACTCCTACAGGAAGGAAGCGTGGTCATTAGTAGTAGTAGTAGTAGTAGTAGTAGTACTTTGCAAAACATAGAGTGCTGTGCCAGACCAAGGTTCCTCAAAAGCAGCACTATTGATATTTGGGGCCACATAACTTTTTGCGGTGGGGGCTGAACTGTGTATTGGTAGTTGTAAAGCACCATAGTAGGTTTCTACTCACTACATGCCCGTGGCAAACTCCTTCTGTCCCCAGAGTTGTGACAATGAAAATGTCTATAGACATTGCCAAATGTTCCCAGGTGGAGGCTACAAAATCATCCCTTGTTGAGAACTACCACACTGGACAGGTATAAATTAATTTTATGAATACTGTAATTACTTTTATTTCTTCAGATTTCCTGGTTTAATGCTCTGGACAGAGTAGGTACTCAATTAATACTCACTGAATAAACAAAAAAAATGAGAAAAGGACTTCATGGGTTATAGTTATAAGTGGCCCTACAGCATAAACCCTTATATGATTATGACTATATTCTATTATAAGTACATTTTTAGTTAGCATAGAGTATATTCTTAGTACCTAAACATATTTTAATAACTATGTGTATGTGCTAGAAATTAAAATTTTATATACACACAAAGATCATAACTAGCAGTAGCTTTATCCCTAACACGCATATTATGAACATATATATGATGGCTAGCATCCTGGTGGAATTAAGTCAGCATGGAAAAATATTATAACCAATAATTCTAAAAAGACTATGACGAGTAGAGAATCTCAGATGAATGTACTTAGGAAATTTCTATTTTCTTTAAACACAAGTTTTCAAATATAAATGGATCATCAATCTTTTCCAAGATCAGAAGATTTGTAATATCTTCTGATATATCTGGAGAACCTATATTAAGTGGCATTTCAGCTTGAGCTACTAAAGACTACGAATGTTATTTTGATTTTCAAGAACTAGTACTTTTTGACCATCAGTTCATTTTCACATTTACTCTGTGGATTCTTAAGTCCTCTATCAACGTGCTACATTGTCCAAAAGACCACTGATAAAGTGTTCTTACCAAAAGAGGGGCAAAAGTAGATGGATGACAAGAGATTTGAGAGACTTCCCTTTCATATACAAACACTCACCCATCCCTCTGATGGCTTGTTGCTATCTACCATCTTTTGGAGGGAATCCCAATTTAGCAGCAGACCTCTACTAAAGACTGTGCTAAAAAGAAATAAAACAAGCTTCTACTTTTGGCTATGATGTAGTAACTTGTGACAGGTCAATGTCCTCACCATAAAACCAGAAGAGCCAGATAAAACACAAGAAACATCTATTTAAAGGCATCTGGCAGCTGGTGAGACTGGTAGGAGGTGAGTGGCTGAGACCTCAGAGAGAAGACAACCGCAGGAAAAACAGCCGAGGTTCTGCAGTGCCCTTTGTCTTACCGGACCTGCTGATTCTTGTCATAGTGCTAGAAACTGAGAATCTGGACAGTGGGCCACTGCAAAGAGGTAAAGAAGTCAGTAGAGCTTCGGCAATCCCACAGGGATAGAGAAACAAAAATTAGCATTTTAGTGCTGCAAAAAAAAAAAAAAAATAGTATTTTAGTGAGGGGTCAAATAAGCAGTGAGAAAGGAGACACAGACAAGTGGGCCATGGGAAGGATTCCCCCTTAAGGCATTTAGGGGTTTCCCCTCAAGGCATTTGCCACAGAGAACAAGAAGCTAAATAAATAAATAAGTGGGGAAAAATTAATAGAAAAATATCCTCAGGCAAGGATTAACAACAACAACAACAAAAAAGTCCATCCCAGCTCTAAAAATCTATGAAATATATTATCCTATGATTAAAGAGAAAACCTATGAATAGGTTATGGGTCATAGTGAGAATAATACAAAATAAATTGACTATAATTTATCAAAAAAGAAGAAGCTAAAGAGCTCAGCAGAAAACCTCTGCAAAGTGCAGTGGAAATTCCAGCAATCCTGTCGTCCTCAGAAGAAAAACATGAGCATTTGGGACTGCCCATGGAGGAGCGGAGTGCAGTAGATGTCTCGGTTTCTCAGTGGGGCCCACTGGAGAAGCGCCCCCTCAGAATGGAAACGCACCAGAGGTACATGGAGTCATATTAACATGCCTGATAAACACAGCAAAATCAGCTCAGTCTCGGACTGGATCGGGAGATCTGTTCACACTCTATGTGCCTACCATTCAGGAGAGAATTTGTTTCCCCCACTGTCAGCCAACAGCCTCTAGCCCATTCTTCAAGCTCTGCCTCAGCTGCAGAGAGCTGCCTCACCCAAGGCACACCCTTCCCAGGAAGCACCACATCCAGTGACTGAGTGAGGCGGGTATACAGTCATGCCCAGCTTAACAACAGTTGCCTAAGGATGCATCTGAGAAATGCATCCTTAGGCAACTTCACCCTTGTGTGAACATCATAGAGTGCACTTATACAAACCTAGACAGTACAGCCTGCTACACACCTCGGCTAGATGTAATAGCCTATTGCTTCCAGGCTACAAATCTGTACAGCATGTGCCTGTACAAACAACAAGAGATTAAATCAAGCACAAAAGAAAGTGATGCAAGCAAGATACATGGTAAACACGAGATGTCTGAGGCTGCTGTTGGAGTAACTCAGCACATTGGTTTACAGCAAAAATCGGAGTTCGACCAGGGAGTGGGGCCGGCCCACCAACCACCCGTGGCCTCTCTCCCCGGCCAGCCCGGCCCAATTGGCCCCGATTGGGACGGGCTGGCCGGACCCCACCTGTGCCCAAATTTGTGCACCCGGGCTCTAGGTTTTTTTTATAAGTAGAAACTGTACACTCTAAAATAATAATAAAAAGTATAGTATAGCAAATAAAGCAGTTACACATAGTCATTTATTATCATAATTGTATGTGCTATTCTTTTATACAACAGGAAGCGCAGTATGTTTGCTTACAGCAGCATCACCACAAACATGTGAGTAATGCCCCGAAATGATGTTATGATGGTTATGGGTGATAGGAGTTTTTTAGCTGCATTAAGTCTTATGGGATCATTGTTGTATATGAGGTCCGTCATTGACCAAAGTGTCATTATGCGGCACAACACTGTAAAGACAAGCTATTTGGCCCAATATGGAACAGCTCTCGCAGGCCATATGTGCCCCACAGTTCCCCCTGGATTTAGCTGAGGCTTTTATGAGCCTGGATCTTATTTTAACATTCCCCTCTGCCCAATCCTGCTTTCTCTCTCTCCTTTACCCAAACTACCCTGTACAACACACTCCATCTCAGTGGCTGCTTCTGGAAACCTCAACTTGTGACAGTCCCAGGAGTGGTCCAAGAAAGGAGGTGATATGATGGGGTTCTTGATCTGGATCACATGCTGGGATGGTAGAGAAGTTAACATCATTGATGGCTAAGTGGAGACAGACATTCCCTGGCATAAGGAGGTGGTCCAATTTTTAAAACCCTCAACAGAGGTGAATTGGAACAGTATGCCTATGGAAAGGAATGCACTGAATGGGGTAACTTACCAAGTGCTTGAGATGTAACTATAAGGACAATGGATTGGATAGCTTACTGTTGAGAATCAATGTCCTAGAAAAAGATAACTCAAAGTTACAGGCAACTATAACTCAAGTGTGAAAGCCAAAGAGCCTCCCTAGTAATTTAGAAAGAGACTCTTATATACTGGAGCAGGAGAGTCTAGAAAGCTGAGGATGCCCTAGCCGGTTTGGCTCAGTGAATAGAGCATCGACCTGTGGACTAAAGGGTCCCAGGTTCTATTCCCATCAAGGGCACATGCCTAAGTTGCGGGCTCGATCCCCAGTGGGGAGTGTGCAGGAGGCAGCCAATCAATGATTCTCTCTCATCATTAAATGTTTCTATCTCTCTCTCCCTCTCCCTTCCTCTCTGAAATCAATAAAAATATATTTTAAAAAAATAGAAAGCTGAGGACCACAAGTGATCAATAATGTAGACCCATTAAAAGTAAGACCTTCTATTCCACCATAGGCATTAAGAAGAGGGAGAAAAGGGAAGCCACAGAGTGGGAACTCTTCACAATACATATGCCCCACAGACTACATATCCAGAATGCATAAAGAAGTATAAGTCGAGGACAAAGGCAGACTACTCGATTAAATAATGGGCAAAATATTTGGACACTTTGCTAAAAGAGATACTCAAATAAAAAATTTGTGAAAATTCAATTAAATTCATCAGGAAATGCAATTTAAAACCACAAAGAGATACCATAATACTATTATCAGAATTGCCAAAATGAAAAAGGCGATACTACAGTGTTGAGGAAGATTTCGAGCCACTGCCATTTCCACACATGGCTCGTAAGTGTATAAATTGCTGCAACCACTTTAAAAACTCTTTTTCTGAACAAATACATAGCCAATCAAAGACATGAACAAGAATAGTCATAGTATCACTATTCATAGTAGCCAGAAACAACTCAAATGTCCATCAACAAGAAAAATGCATTGCGATATAATAATATCTTAGAATACTATACAACAATGAGAATGAGTAAACCACACGAAGATGAAAACATAATGGATCTCTTAAACATAATGCTGGGCAAAGGCGGCTAGATACAAAAGGAGTACATACTGTATGACTCCATTGATACCAAGTTAAGAAACAGGCAGAACTACCTAACGAGCTAGAAGTCAGGGGAGAGGTTCTTTTGGGAGGGCGAGGCTACTTGGAGAGGCCTCGAGAGCGTTTCTGGGATGCTGATCAGATTCTCCTTCTTGATCCAGATGTCGATTGCATCGGTCTGGTCACTTTGATAAAAGTTATTGCACTGTACACATTATTTGTATGCACCCTTGTATGAAGGTACAGTTCAATTACAACTGTTAAAAATGCAATGAAACACAGACACCTACATTGCTTTCCTTTTTCCTGCTCTGGTGAGAAGCAAGTCCTGCTGATGTTGCTGCTTTCGAGTTGGTTTCTAAACTGGGAGCATTTGAGGAAATTGGGCCAGGAGGCGTTCACCATCCCCAGGACTGACTCGCAGCCCTCTTTTGCAGCCTCACAGAAGGACCGACAGGGCAGGAGTCCATGTCTAGAAGAAAAGAGAAAAGTGAAAATGAGTATGTTTATAGACTGCTTCTCGAAATAATACTGAAATTAAAGTTGGCCATGAGGGCTGTAATATTATCTTAATTCATATTCACTATGTCAACAACTTAAATTTCTATACACAATCCTATAACAAGAGTGTCAGACAGCCTAATGTCCTGGTTCTAGAGGGAATAAGCCAGTTCCATAATATATCATTGATCTCCTGTTGAAGCACTGACTCCCCCAGTATTTTTCTTCTTAGGTTTGAGGTGTTAACGTAAACCTGTCAATCCAAAAGGAGCTCTACTTAATGCCAAAAGGAGTAAATGAACCTGGAAATAAAGGCCCCCCAAATGGGAAAGGCAGAAGTAGGTCACAAAATAGGTTCATCTCATTTCTGTTCTTCCCTTTGAGAAATTCAAAGTATCCCTGGGAGGCAGAGAGAAAGCTGCTCCTTCATTTCCACTGCCTCCCTGGAAAAGACACATAAAGACCTGTGGCAACTCGGTTATTTACTTGCAGTTACTAGTATAAGCAATGCATTTATTGGCAGTTTATAAAGTTACTTATCTTCTCAGATTTCTATTTTATCTTCTGCAAAATAGAAAAGTGCAGGCAACTGTCTATTAATGGCAGGAGAAGCGACGCCCGGAGCTGCCTTTACTCACTGGCACGCCATCAAACACTGGCTCCAGCGTTCAGGGACTCAGGTGGCTTTTTCTGTTTTGCAGCTACAGACTGCGTCTCTCACCCTGGCTGGTGAGCATTGCGAATGATTAAAAAAAAAAAAAAAACTGGGAAAGAAAATCTACATGTCAGTCAAAGCAAAGCACACACTTCGCCAATGTAGTGTCACGAACATGTTTCAGAGCCACACAATATTAGATCTGTGAGAAACCTTAAACAACACCTCGTTCAAACCCTTCATTTGAGACAGGACCTGATTCTGGGATTGACTGAAGGTCACATCGCTTCTTAATGGAAGAACTGGGAAGAGAATCCAGATGTTTCTACTTTCAGTCCACACTCTATCTACTGTTCTATATTGTCTATGCTCATATAAGGACCTAATAATTGGGCTTTAAGAGTTCCTTGATCAAACAGGACCTCTCTTGGGAGAGAGATCTTTTTATACATAAAAATGTGGAAAAGGCATACTCAGCAATTTCCTTCATATACGAGTGCCTTTGACCTCATAATCTGAAGCTTAGGAACTTGTGTTAAAACTGAATGGTTTTATTTTATTTGAGAGAGAGTTGTTATTCCACCTTGTTATGCATTCATTGGTTGATTTTGTGCCCTAACCAGGGATTGAACCTGCAACCTTGGCATATCAGGACCAACTGAGCTACCTAGCCAGGGCCAAAACTGAATATCTTTTAGAGTCCTGATATTCACATAGCTATCTATCGACATCAATATGTCATTAAATTTGTTAGTGAACATGTAGAACAATAGGTTTTGCACTTGAAAGATTAGGCTTAAGGCATAAAACATGTCGACCTGCTCCAGGCAAATATCCTGGTGTAAAAAGAATACCTGGCTGCCATTCAGGAAATATATTGGGTATTTAGAGGAGTAAGAAAGTATCACTTCAATAACATTTTCTATCTCATTCCAGAGCAGTTAGAGACTCTATTTTCTCAACTAAAACATGGGTACATGGCTGAGGAAGGTGGAGAACATAGAATTCCTGCGCACTAGCTCACACGTTGCTAGACTCTCTTCTGAGTGCTTCGTGTCCATTGACACCTTCATTTCTCACGGCAGCTCTAAGTGCTAAGTGCCAGTACTATCATCCCTGATACCCAAGTAAGGAAACGGAAGCACAGGACACACAAGAGACTTGGCCAGGATCATTGAGGGAGTGAGTATCAGAGCCAGGATTCAAATCCTGGCAGACTGACCTAAAACCCACTCTAATAACTACTCTACTCCATGTCAGCTCTTACTCCAGAAATGTGTGTTCCAAAGCTCAACTCAAAGGCAGTTAGGAACTTGATAGGCCCTTTCGGAGTGGACCAGCCATATACACAGAGATTAGGTTCTCCTTCATTCTACAAACTCTTAGTTAAGCTGCAATGATCAGTGTTTGCCAAAGGGGCCAAGGAACACAAGGGAAGGAGAAAGGTATGTACCTTTCCTTTCCAGGTGTGAGATAGCCCACCGTAAAACTACAAGACCAGCAAGGCTTGACTTCGGCATTTCTTCCTTTGCCTTTGCGTCTCTGACGCAGGTCCCAGTCTCTGATATCACCCGGACCCCACTCAAGCACCCCACTAGACAGCCATCTCCACCAGAACATGACTTGCTCTTAAACATCGTCTTCCTTTCCTGCAATCAAAACTGCATTCCCCAAGTGAGCAGATCGCAATTGGGCTTTCAAAGAGGAAGGATGACAATAACACAGAGTAACTTATAATAACAGATGGACGCTTACCCCTCCCAAAGGCGTTTGCATCATTAGAAGACGTGCTGGAGCCAAGGAATCTCTAATTAATGGCATTTCAGATGCCACTTACAGGAGGGAAAATTCATCCAACACTGGGGAGGGGGAGGTCACTGCAAAGCTAACTCTGGAGGCTCAACTCTCCCAGGGGGTTCCTGGACCTTCCCTCACCTCTGAACCCACATATTTTAGGATCCTGCCACATTTTTTCTCAGAATCCTCTACAGCAGTGGTTCTCAACCTTCTGGCCCTTTAAATACAGTTCCTCATGTTTTTACCCCCAACCATAAAATTATTTTTGTTGCTACTTCATAACTGCAATGTTGCTACTGTTATGAATCGTCATGTAAATATCTGATATGCAGGATGGTCTTAGGCGACCCCTGTGAAAGGGTCGTTCGACCGCCAAAGGCGTCGCGACCCACAGGTTGAGAACCGCTGCTCTACAGTAAGAGCAATGAAGCTTCATGCAGGGGCCCAGCAGACTGCTTTCTGTTCTAAAGCTGTCTTAACTCCCAAGCTGACATTCTCATTGACTTTTCCTATGGACACTTCCCGCATGAAAGGGTAAGTCCGCCACCCTCAAACTTTCACACGGCCACTCCTCACTGCCTGATCTTGTGCCAACAGTTCACCCACACCGAGACTCAGTTTCCTCATTTGAAAAGTGAGAGGTTTGGAAGAGCTGAGTTTATACGGTGCTTTTGTCACTAACATTTCATACATCAAACTGTATCCTTTAACACAGTGCTTCTCAGAGGAGCAGCGATAACCCCACCGGCTTTGCTAAATTTCAAAAGGTAATAGACATTTTCTTCTCGAAATTTGTTCTGGGAATATACAGAGACATTAAAATACCATTAGGCCTCCCATTCTAAAAATAGGTTCTAAGAAAAATGTCTAGAGTGTTTCCAAATAGCTCTAAGAGGTGTAACCAACAGAGGCCCATAAGCTTTAAATTGCTGGACCAGGACAAGTGAAACAGTGAGAGTATTAATAACCAGCAGCCCTTTTGAACAGTGAGCAAAATGAGGAGCCATTTGCTCTTGTTAGCATGACATTCAACTGCCTGTGAGGAGTTGAAGTATTTTGCTTTCATCACATGGAGCAGTGGGGTGAGATAGGCCACACTATTTTGGAACGTAAGTGCCTATATCCAAGCAACAAGCAGCCTGACATCTGAAAACAGTGCTCAGCACAGGCAGGGGTCGGATCTGGCTATCTGAATACTATTTTAGAAATGGTGATTATTTTCAATTGATGTGTGAAGTGCCCTTGGTATCATGCAAAAGTCTCTAACACACTTCGACTGAAGTTTAAGCCGGAAACAGTTATTATATGAGTAATTATACTATATAATGATATGAGGTTTTTATTGTGTTTCCACTAGGAGGGATGTTCTAAAATTATTTATCTATTAAAAACTTGGAGATTTTACCTATACAGTTTTAAGCAAATTTACCAACAATTTTTAAAATTTATTTACCAAATTACAGATTTTTCTTTATTGTTCCCTTTTGAACAACATGTCTCCATCTCCCAAAACGTTTACACTTCGTCTGCAAAAAAAAAGTTCTGATAAGATCTAATGTTAAAATTATTGAATAAGCTACAGCTGCAGAGTAGGCTTATATGACTAAGAATTTTTAAATTTTACAAATGACTTTTTCTAACTTTTTAACGACTTTTGACCTATAGAAAAGTTATGAAAATAGAATAGAAAGTTACCAGATATCCTGCATCCAGGCTCCCTCAAGGCTAACACTTTATGCAACTACAGTTCAATGATCAGAACCAGGAAACTAACATTGACACAATATCTTTAACTAAATTAAATACCCCTAAAAATCTCCATTCAGGATCTCATGTTACATTTAATTGTCACATTTTATGTTTGGCAAATAAACTAATTTTTAAATATGTTAGGAGAGCTCAGGGTTTAAAACTATCCCCCTCCAAAAAAAAAGAATCTCCCAGGCAGACTCTAAGAGGACCCCCAATAACCTCTGGCTCCTGGTGTTCAGGCCTGTGTGAGCCCCTTCCTTTGAGTGTGGGCTGGCCTAGTGACTTGTTTCCAACCAACAGATGGTAATGGGATGTCATTTCCATCATAAATAAGAGGTGAGTTCTCTATTGCTAGAGACTCCTTCCCTTATTCTCGTTGAAGAAGCACATTGCCATATTGGGGAGGCCGCATAACAAGGAGTTGAGAGTAGCCTCCCGCCAACAGCCAGCTAGAAACTAAGCCCTCAGTCCAACAGCCCTTTGAAACTGAAATTCTTCCAACAATCACATGAATGTGAAAGTGGATCCTTTCCCAGTCGACCCTTCAAATGAGACCCCAACCCTGGCTAACACCTTGACTGTACCCATATGACAGACACTGAAGCAGAGGACCAATTCCAGATCCACAGGAACTATGAGATAATACTTGTGTACTACTTTCAGCTGCTAAATGTGTGGTAATGTGCTTTCCAGCCGTGGGTAACTGATGCACTTTTCTTTGGTATCTCGCTTGGTCAGAGGCATACTTTTGAGTTAGATGTACTATT